TCTTGAATCGTTTAAGTATAACTTAATGCTCTCTTAGAGTTAATTTTTGATCATGTTATTAGCCAAACATTTTTTTTCCGCTACATGCAAATTCTAATGTGTGTTCCCTTCCCTATTTGGTCCTTTGTTCTTCAATACTTCCGAAGAGTTCTAGGATGAGGTTCAATATCTGGCCTCTTCTTCCATATGTAGTCAAGCCCTAGTGTATACCAGTCCTGTTAACTTGGATTTGATATATTCTTATATGTTATGAGTTCTGATGCTGTTTAGACCTTGGTGTTATGATTGATAATGTTAAAATTTCTCATTAAGTGAATTTTCATATGTTCACCAGCCTTTTGTTGTGCTATTTATGATCCTACTTGCACTAGATTCTCATGCTAGGAATTTTCATGTAAAAATTACTATTTCACTTGCTTCTGTCTGAGATTCTTCAAGGTTCTTCTGTTAAAATCTTATGTCTAAAGTTATTTAAGTTGATCCGGGATTATATTTTATTCTGAAACCCTACTTGGGATTGTTTGTAAGCTTGTGATGTTCCACCCTGTCATTTTGAACTTATTACTGAAACATACTATGAGACCATCTTAAGTATATAACTCCATATGATCTTATCTACATGCTTTGGTTTAAAATACTGTTAGTTGCAGTCTTAAGAACTAAGTGTATGGACTTCAAAATTTGCTTAATCAATCTCATGTACAGTTTGTTACTTGTGTGGTTAAGTTAGGCATTGCTGGGTAAGTTAGTTTACCCTTCAGGCCTGGTATGGGTCTATATCTAAGTTTGAATCATGCAGCTAATACACTCTAATATTTTGGGGTGTACCTAGATTTGAGTTTGCTATTTGTATGAAGAATAAGATTATTGAAGGCTTCAACATTGATGGGTTATTCTCCCTTGGGTCTGCTCTGTTTATTGGGCTTGTTCTCATTTTAATTTGTAATATTTGAGCATGTATTCTTTATTTTGGGCCTATAATGATTTGTAAGCAAACAATTGGGGAGTTAGTGAAATTGGGGAAAACAATTGTACTCTATTCTTGCATAAAAAGGGTAGAAAACATGTCTATAGGGTCTAAATACTTTGTTTGATATCTCGTTTGACATGCTCTATTTCTGTACACTGATAGAAAGCATGCCTATAGGAATCTAAGCATTTCACTTACTCAACATGTTCTATTCGTGTACACTGTTAAAAAACATTCCTATAAGAATCTAAGTGCTTCACTTGTTCACATGCTCCACTTCTATACGTTATTAGATAATATGCCTATAGGATTCAAACATCATTGGTTATTTTCTCAATTTTCTTTATTGACATGTGTTAGATATCATGCCTATAGGATCGCGTTAAGTAATAAAGACATGCTCCTATTGATATTCATCTAGATACCATGTCTATAGGTCCTTAATAGATTAAATAAACTGTCGTTGTTGCTATTCTTATCACACTGCCCGCCTAGAAAATATGCCTATAGGGATAAAGTGTTATAAAACCAATTTCAGTTGTCAACCGTTAGAAATCCTGTATGTAGGATGCTATTACTTGTCTTAGACAACATATTTATAAGATCAACGTCATTAATCTTGGGCTTTCGAACAGTCTTATTACCTAACTGCATGAACAATGTAGATGTCATGCCTATAGATTTGTAATACCTTTAATTTGCAAATATGTTAGCCTAAAGTTGTAACGCTGCCTGTACACTGCTGGAAATCAGAATCATCTAGAAATCATACCTATAGGACTTAACGATTATAATGCTTCTTAACTCTAAAATTGTATACTGCCTAATCTGCCGCGTACATTCGGTGTTTATGTGGGGGAGAGGGGGTTAACTTGAGCCTTTTATTGCATTTATGTGAAGTCCTATATGTTTTGAATGTGTGTTAGTTTTATCATTTTTGAACATCCTAAGTAGAGTCTAGAACCACCTAATAGTAGGTCCAAAGCTTCCTTGACCATAGGCATGTGACGGGTAGTGCACACGTAGGATGCAACCTAGAATTGAATTAGAGCGCCTTTAAGTAAACAACTTTAACATAGTAATCGGGTGGCAGGAGGTGTTAGTTTGTGCCCACTGAATAATATGAGCAACTCCTACCTTAAGGGAGTTACAAAATATTATTTCCATTGCATGGGGTGATCCTTTAGGCTAAAAAACTTAGGACCCCCCACCCCCCTTCTTTTATAAGTCTATTGTTCACACTTAGTCATCAGATGTAAACCAATCAAATTATACCTTGTAACCTCTAAAGACATGTATAATCATCTATATAGTTTAATTGTTGCTCGATTTCCTTTACACTTGTTTACAATAGAACCTTTAAATTCCTTGTCTCCCCTCACTTATATGATCACTTAGGACGACTGTCCGATAATCCCATATAGTGTAAACTTCGGTCGGGACCCACAGTTGTGAACTTCGAAGAGTGCCTAACACCTTCTCTTTGAGGTAATTTGAGCCCTTACCCGATCTTTGGTGGCAAAGACTAGTTAAACAAAGTTATTTGCAAATAGGTGCGCTAACACACCTCAAAAATTATTAGGTGACGGCTCTTCTCGTTTAATACCCATTTAAAAGAGTTGTCACACGTCGAAACCCGCTTTCGAGAGAAAACGAGGTGCGACAACTTGCAATTACAAAAACATATATTATCTCAAATGTGCAACTGCCTCTGTTTCCTCAGGTGCATTGAAGAACAAAGCAGATACAAAATAAAGGACTAGAAAAAAAATATATCTTGTGTCCTTTAGTTTGTTGTGTCTTTGTCTTTTGTTATTTGCTTGTAATTCCTAAACAACTTTTTAGAAGCATTTAGTAAGACATCATTTAAACCACTATTGCTTTTGGTTGTTTGACTAGAGTTAGTCAAATGTGAGGTTTTGTAATATAATTATTACAAAGGCCTTACAATAAAGTTATTGTAAGAAGCGAAAGATTAAGAGTTCAATTCCTAAATTGCAATAGGTTGTAATATGAAGTTAGCTCAGTTAGTAAAGTTGAAATTCTACTAGGGTTGGTCATGATTTTTAATTCCGTGAGTTGGGAGTTTTTCATATAAATATTGTGTGTTCTTAATTTATTGTTGTTTACTGTGGGAATTGATAAAGACCCTAGTTCTTGATACAATTAGGTGGACCCTTAATTTCTATCCATGTAGCATTAAGATCGGTTAACATTGTTGAGTAAAGTATGCAACAGAATTGAAAAGGTGAGGAGAAAAGCTATGGAGTCCTAGATTTGTGCTGGATTTTCTTAACTTTATAATAATCAACTGAAGCAAATGTTGGGTTTATATAAGCTTATAAATATACAGACTACTAAGCCACTAAACTGTCATTACTATTACTAGTAAAGCAATAACAATCCACTACTAGTAAATCATAAAATTATATCATCACTACTGCAAACAAATCCAAAAATATAGGACACTACTAATAAACTCAGATTTGACCAAGTCCTACTTTGAATCATTAGTCAATAATCATAACGCAAATTCAAAGAAGGGAAGGTGGATTGGCGAGAGCTTGAGTACTAATGACAAGAGCACATCGTTTACCACAAAACGTTGTATTCAAAAAAAGTATAGACCGTACAATATAATACAGTTATGAAGGAATAAAAACAACAATCCAAACAGAGTGTTAAGTGGCCAAACCAAACAACACGTCGTCGGAGTTTTTCTACAAAAAATCATTACCAATTACTTGCCTAACATGGTAAGAACTAACAAATGTGCCAAGACTTTCTAGTTTTCTTATTCACCTCTTTGAGGGTCAAGAGTAACCAAATAGAACCTTCTAAGCGTTGGCGAAGATGTGGAATTTAATTGAGTTCGTACTAATAGAAAATTGGAAGTGTACCTACCGTTTACTGCGTTTCGACAACTACACGATATGCCATTTTTTCCCACATAATTCCAGCTTTTGTGGCTTCATATTTCTATTTCCACCAATAGTTAGAGGTCAAGCTGCCTATTGTGACCGACTGAATAAACATTATTTGCAAGTAAGACTTTTATCCGTATACCAATGTAATGCACGTCGACCTTTCAGCTTCCCTTTCTTTAACGTAAACGTCTTCAGCTGAGTAACTCTAGCTAGTTTCTCTTGATCTAAGAATCTTACGAACAATGTATTAAAATTTGGAATTCGCACTTGTTCTTCACTTCTTCAGCTTTTAAGAAAAATATTTTTCAAAATAAACTGACTTCACTTTAGAAACATGGCCAAATAGATTATTTATTAGCTGATTAAAAGCTGAAATCATAGAGTAACATGTAAATACACAAGATATGTCCTTTTTTCGCTGTGTGAAAGACTGTAAGCATTAATGATTTTTGTAGAAACATCCTAAGAGTTTGAAATTTCAACAAAGCAGATATCAAAAGGAGGTGTTCCTTTAGGCGTCAATTAGAAGGCACGAGTAAACTTACTACAAACAAGAGAATCAAAGAAATAATTAATTTTTAGATGGTGAAGAATAAACGCGAGGAAATAAAATAACTAAATTACTAAAGCAAACGCGTGGGCTCTACTAAGCTTTCCAATCACCTTGACCCCTTGAGCTACCAGTAATGAGCCATCCCCTTCATGTTTAGTGAAGATTAATCAAGAAATTCATTTTGTACCAGGAAAATAAAAAAAGAAAAAAATTAGAACATCATAGTTGAATTTTGAACCAGTGATCTAAAATAATTTGTAAGTCTTCTTTACAAAGAAAAAGAACGTTTTTGCCCAACTTGTATGGTATAATTTTTAGACATATATAGGAGGTTCAATTGAACTCCTTTTCCTTCCTATACCATGATTACAATTTCAAAATACAAAAGTAAAAAAAAAAAAAAAACTAACACTACCCACCAACCTAAAAATAAATAAAAATTAGAAGGAACGACCAAACAAATAAAGTAAACTTGTGACCAGACATTAGATATTTGTCATGACCGCATGTAATCTTAGGTTTCTCATTGTCATCACCTCCCTATATATATTCAAGAAACCCCTTCATTCTCTTTCATGTTAGAAACACAATTCCCAACCTTCATTCTTCTTCCAACATTACACAAAGCCTAACAAAATCATCCACAAAAAAAGAAAGAATCTTAAAAGAAGGAGCGAGAGAAAAAAGAAGGAAGAAAATGGCCTCATACATGATTCTTTTCTTTGCTTGCACCCTTTTCCTCCAAGGTGCATTAGGTATGGTTATATTTAATTTTATTCGTTTTTATGATTGATTCTATTGATAGTACAGTGAACGAGCATGTCATCTTGATAGAGATGATTCTGCTTCATTAAACGTTTATTCTAATGTTTGGAACACGAGTTATATAGATAAAGAAATATATAAACTATCATTCATACTTATATTCAGACCTCATGTTTCGACTCTAAAAAATTTTAAAAAAAGAATTCTAATTTTTATTCGAAATGATTTATTTTAGGAATCTTGATCATACCATGCACGTTAATATATATATGATGAACATGTATATGTATAGAAGCTAATATATACATAACTATTTTTTTTAGGGGAAATCATCTGTGAAAACTTGCCAAAAAATGTTTGTTCTTTTTCAATCGCATCATCTGGGAAGAGATGTTTGTTGGAAAATTCAGCTAACAACGACGGAAAAATGGAGTACCAATGCAAGACATCAGAGGTTGTAGTTGGAAACATGGCAGAATACATTGAAACAGATGAATGTGTAAATGCATGTGGTGTTGATAGGAACTCAGTGGGGATTTCTTCAGATTCTTTGCTTGAACCTCATTTCACTGCAAAACTTTGTTCTCCTCCTTGTTATCAGAATTGCCCTAACGTTGTTGATCTTTACTTCAATTTGGCTGCAGGAGAAGGTATTAATAAGATTCAATCTTTTTGGCTTTTATTCCCTTTACCCTTTAGATCAGTTTCACACTAAATGTAACAAATTCTTGTTTTTGTTGAATTATGTGACTCATCTAAAAGTCTACACGGTTAGAGAGAACACGCTTTTCCTCTCTTTAATCTTAAGAGAGAGACATAAATCACACAATTCTTTCAACTTAGACTAAGCTCCCATTTCCTCATAGATTTTGGCTATTTTTAAAAAAAAATTGAAAATATAACGTTCATGAAATAATGATTAGTTTTTGAAAAAAATTTAAATTTTTTTTTAAGTTCACAAAAATTAGTTTAGGATTGTTTTCGGGTGAATTTCTTTTTCCAATCACAAAACTTTAACCTCTTTTTTTTCAAATAAAATGCATGTCCAAACACAACTTCAACTTTTAAGAATTATTGTTCCACACAACTTTAGAAACTTTTTTTTTTTTTTTTAAGTTTCAAACAAACTGATGTCCAAAAACTAGCTAAGAAATTATTGAATTGCTGCATCACACGATTTTGGAGTTCAGATCCGATCATGCTCAACAAAACTTATTTTACATTGTTTGCGAAGATGGCCAAAAAAGTTTATGCTTTTCTTGGAAATCAAAATCTTAATGTTGAATCAAAGAATATATCTTTTCTAGAATTTCACTAATGTTCCTTTTCTTAAATGAAAAATATATGTAGGAGTATATTTGCCAGAATTATGCAACAAGCAAAGGAGCAGCCCACACCGTGCCATGATTGAACTATTAAGCAGTGGAGCTGCAATTGATGCCCCTGCCCCTATTGCTTCTGAAGATGAAATTGTTGTTGATGCTCCTCAAATTTCCCCTTCTTCTTTCTAATTTATATGCATAAACCCTCTACCTATTATTCTAAGTTATTTTACATGCAAAGGAAATGCGAAACAAGTGCTTTATTATTTGTTACTATTGTAATAGTTATTGGAGTATAGTGAGCGAGCGAGAGAGGGAGAGATAGGATTTTGAGTTTATTCTTGATTTTCTTATATAGGGTTTATAGGAAATTGTTGCGAGAAAATCTGTTCACCAGTTTTTCTTCGGCTGAGACTTCAATAAAGATAATCTTTATTTACTAGTATTTGTTTCCTTCACTTTCACTCAGTTACTTCAGCTTTATTTATATGGAAAAGTGTCCAAAAGTATTACTATTACATACTCCCTCCATTTCAATTTTCATGAGATGTTTGACTCGTCACGGAGTTTAAAAGAAAAAGAGAAGACTTTTGAAATTTGTGGTCTTAAAAATGTAAGTAACATGACATTTGCGTGGTTATAAAAGCTTCTCATTAAAGGTAAAATGGGTAAAATAAAGAATTTAAAGTTGAATTATTTTCAATTGTAGAAATGTGTCATTCTTTTTTAAACAGACTAATAAGGTAAGTATGTCATCTAAATTGAAACAAAGGCAGGGTCGGCTCTAATGCACAAGCCACTAAGGCAAGTGCTTTAGGCCCCCAATTTTTGAGGGTTTCATTTTTCAATATAGTAACTAATTGAAGGACTTTTTCTAGCCGATATACATAGATTATACATTAATTATACATAATTATACATATATTTATATAGAAATTTTATATATATACACCGGCTAGTTTTAGTTTAAGAGATTAGGTGAGAAGATATTTGGGTTAATTCTTCTTTTTTTCTTTTAAAAAAATATAGAATTAAGATAGAAATTATAAAAGAAGTCCTTATATTAATATTTGGCTTTAGGCCACAAAATATGTCGAGCCGCCACTGAACAGAGAGAGTATCTCTTGAATTTATTTTGGGGGATTTCCGATCGTACCCTATATTTGTGCCACCTTTTAACTTGTATCCTATTTTTAAAAATTATTGAATTGGTAGCTAGTTGACAAAAAATCCGTAATAATATGACACTTACACCCCTGATAAATCGTGTGATCTGCAATCTCATTCATGAAAAAAGATCTCCTCATCTCCTCTCAGTAGCTTTATCAAAAAATCAGAAACTTCATGCTAATGTAGCATGAAGTTGTTTCATGTTGAAGCTAAAACTTCATGCTTATATAGCATGAAGTTGTTACATTGAAACTAAAACTTCATGGTAATGCATGCCGAAGTTATTTATCTTGCAGTCTACAGTTTTGTCATGAGTGCTGAAGTTATTTAGTTCATTTGCTAAAACTTCAGTTGAAACATGCTGAAGTTATTTAGTTTATTTGCGAAAACTTCAGACTAAACATGCTTAAGTTTTTGTCTTGTAGTATGTAATTTTTTAATGAGTTTTTGCTAATGCATGCTAAAGTTATTTAGTTCATTTGTTAAATCTTCATACTAAACATGCTTAAGTTATTTAGTTCATTTGCTAAAATTTCAGACTAAACATGCTTAAGTTATTTAGTTCATTTGCTAAAACTTCATTCCAAAACATGCTTAAGTTACTTAGTTCATTTGCTAAAACTTCAGACTAACCATGCTTAAGTTATTTAGTTCATTTGCTAAAACTTCATGCCAAAACATGCTGAAGTTTTGTCCTACAGTCTACAATTTTGTCAATAGCCCTGAAGGGTAAAATCATCTTTTTAAAATGCTTTTAACAAAATATGGGTACGGATGCAAACGGAAAAACAAAATGGGTATAAGTTAAAAGGGGGCGACCAAATAGCGCGCCTCATGCAATTTTTATATTTACTTTCATTATCTTTTTGCTAGCGGGCCTCTGAATAAACAGTATAGTCGTCCGTACTGTTTTAGTAGTTACTAGCTAGTTGTAGCTACCATTTACTATATTACTTCCGATAGCTATATTTTCAGATTTTTTTTAGAGCGTATTCGATGTATTTAAGCTACTATATTCATGAATACAGTAGCATTTCTAGGTGTGAAACATGAGATTCGAATTAGAGAAACTTTCAGAAACCACTATGTTTTAGTGATTATTAGCTAGTTGTAGCTACCATTTACTATATTACTTTCTATAGCTATACTTTTAGATTTTTAGAGTGCATTCGATGTATTTAAGCTACTGTATTCATGAATACAATAACATTTCTAGGCGTGAAATAGGGGATTACAGCTAGACAGATTTTTGTATTCGAGTGTATTTGAATGTATTTATGGCATGAAACATGGGATTACAACTGGACAGATTATTGTATTCGACTGTATTCACGTCGTGAAACAGGGGATTACACTGTTTTTAAACGGAAAGTGAATCAATTGACATAATAGACTCCTAATATAACTCAACAAACTCAATTATAATACACAAATTTTGTATTTCCACTTATAAAAAAGATTCTCAGCCGAAAAATACCCAAAAAATATAGCAATCTTCAGAGAAATTATATAATACATCTGAATACATAAATTATATTAATTAAAAAAATATATGAATACATTCATGGAATATAGTGAGACAGTAAATACAATGAAATATATAGAATACAACGAGATACATTGAAATACAATGAAAAAAAGATAATAAATACAATAAAATACATAGAATACAGCGAGATACATTGAAATACAATGAAAAAAAAAGACAATGAATACAATGAAAAACAGTGAGATACATTGAAATATATTAACAAAAAATTCAAGTTGCTCAGCCCCCAACTCAGTCGTCTTCGTTCAAGAACAACCCTAATATCGTCTCGTTGAAGCAACATCAGTATCAAGTCCTCGCGCGCTATCACAAAGAGAAATAACTCAGATCTTTAGAGTCTTTACAGCCAAAAAAGGGGAGAAGTGCCTTTATTACTATTTAGAATCTTTAGACCCAAAAGACTGAATTTTGACATGAAATTACAGAAGACGGAAACAAATACTAAAACTTCAGCTGGGGCGTCAACGTTCCAATAGAAGAGAAAGAGATGATTACGTGGACCAGAAGCACAAGAAAGTTGGATTATGTCTGATACCAACAAGACAAGTAGAGATCAGAGCCTAAAATGATATCGGGAAGTAGAGATAGAAGGAGAATAGATATGGGGTAGAGGATAGGAGAAATTTGAGGGAATATGAGAGACAAAAATAAGACAAAGCTTATTTTATGGCTTAAGAGTAGGAGGTGACCATAAATAAATTTTTGGCTATAAAAAATTAAAAGGTAGCTATGGAATATAATTTTTTAAAAGGGTATTTGTTTAAAATAAATAAGGTATCAACCTTTGCTATAAGAGGTAACTATTTCGTAAAAATAGCATGGTATAGCCAATTTTCGGACTGGTCATTCAAAAATTGCCAGCGTTTACGAAGTCAATGAAAAATAGCTACTATTTTGCTGTAACAGAGACCGGTCCAGCATAATATACTGAGTTCGGTGCACTTGTGTATGAACTCCAGCATATTATGCTGGACCGGTATACTTTGCTGAATCCAGTATAATATATTGGAGACTGGAACACCGGTGCTCCAAACTCCAGTATATTATACTGGACAATTATACTTGCTGGAACTCCAGTATATTATGTTGGAGTTCTAGTGTACTTATGCTGGAACTCCATCATATTATGCTGGAGTTCCAGCATACTTATCCTTGAACTCCAGTATAATATGCTGGAGTTCAAGCATACTTATGCTGGAACTTCAGTATAATATACTGGCATATTTTCCGGGTTTTGAACAGTGTTTTCGCTCAGATTTATCTTTACATGAAAAATGGCTAAATTTTGATTACTTTTGAAAATGGGATATTTTTGAACGACCAGTTGTAAATCTGGCTATTTTTGAATTTCTCCCAACTATTTCATATATATATATATATATATATATATCGAAACTAGCCCATGTAGCTATAGAGTGTGGCCCAAATGTCTTTACGCAGTCCAAGCGCAATTCCTATTATGAAGCTAAGAATCAAGTCACATACCATGTTTACCATATTCAGATCTAGCACTTGTAGGATTACAAACTTTGATCTTGGCCTGGCCTGGCCTGCCTGAATATAGGGCGTGTGTAGTATTTATGAACGTGCGTTGCACGTTAATAATATCACGTGATGATTTAAATATTTATTTATACGAAGGAACAATAAAATTTGATTAATGAGATAAATTTTATGTATAATAATACAACAATCATCTAAAGGTTGAAAAATATTATTACAGTAGCATAATACATGAATTTAAAATAAAAGGTCATTATCAAAACTTACACAAATGATCAATTTTGTCATATTAGTTAGATAATTATGTATTATAATTTAAAAGAATTTAATGTGATGGTATCTTAACGAATATTTTTTTGTATATGTCACTTCCTAATGCTTTGGTTACTCTGCCTTAACCAAACCTCTTGTTGTCGATCTTGATATCCCTATTGAAAGTGCAACAANATATATATATATACCATCTGTGTGCTATTACATAAGCTATTCGGTGTATGTAAGTTTTTCAGTAGCATGGCATGCATATTTTTCTTTAAAATCAACTTATATACAATGGAAAATCAATCTTAACTTAGTCTATTCTATGTATGGTGACAACAACATAGGTAAGAAATAATAAACTTGACAACAAACATATATGTCAGAAGACCATTTGATATTAAAGTATTTAAGTATTCGTCTTGGTAATAATTATTGGTATCATTTTCTGCTGAGTCAAAAAAAAAAAGCATTTTATTTTTACTATAAAATTTTGCAATCAACATTTTATTTAGTTGATCAACATATTCATTTCTGCTAGCTAAGATATCTTTTTAATTCTATCATGCGATTTGCACAAATTGTGTTTTAATCTAATAATATAAATATCTCTCTAATTAAATGTACTACTATTACTATTGGGAATAATAACTAAGTGTTCAGAAAGAACCAAATCATCTTTTATTGGATGCTCTTATTTGTTTCCGACACGAAGCAAGAAGAAACTGAATACTGGATTTGTTCTTAATTTATATTTCTTGTTTGTTGATTTTTTTTATTTGAGGCCAGAAGTATAACTTTGGCAAGCTCGCTTTTACAGTCTCTGCTTTTGTTGATTTTGGAACTCCTGGTAGTACTTCACATAAATTGCCTCCAAAATCATTAATTTTCATCAAACGGTTCATTAATATCCCATATCTCTCTAGAACTTCGGGCAATTATTTCGATCGTTTGACACT